AATGTTGAAATTAGTAATACTAACTAGAGACTAAAAAATTGACTTCAATTATAATTTTGATATCTAATTTTAGACTAGAAGCACATTTTAATTTTTGATGCAAATATTCGTCGATGCCATGAAATTTACAATAAGTGATATTAACCCCTTAACTGTCACTGAAAACATACAAGATTCATTTCCCAGTGCCACAGTTTTTCACACAGGCGCGCACAGTTATGCGATGTATTAGGGGGAAAATAAGTGCAAGTTTCACTTTCTAAAATCTATTTACTTTCACAAAATAAAAAATAAAAGAAAAAAATGAATGCACAAAATTTAATGTTTTGAGTAAAAGTATAATAAAAATGATGTTTTTTAATAAAAAAGATCACTAAAATGGAGTTTCAATCAATTCATTTTTAGACCAGTAAAGTTCAATATCAGGTTTCAGTGTTACACCTTGTGAAATCAGTATGCCTAAAAAAACACATAGTTCTTCTGATTTTGTTCTTGATTTTTCGTTTGCAAGGTGTTGGTTCATATATTCGTCTAAAAGACGGTTAGTTTCAGTAACAATATGAAGCCCGAATGACTTGTCCTCTGCAGCAATATTTTTGCTTTGGCACTTTTTCTCAAATAATAAAAGATATTTATCAATAGGGATGTCAGAACTTTGGTCATCAAATACAGCACACTGAAATTTATCCATGACCTGTGCAATTTCACTTTCTTCTATAGACACTTTTGTTTTCAACCTTGTTTGCATACCTAATAGTAGAACACACCATTGAGATTTCACATTAATTAAAATTGAATCATAATTTTTTAGAAGCACCTAATCACGAGACACTTTTTCTGAATTTACACCAAATCACTGAAACACACAAGGCACCAACAATGCACTTTTTCCGATGAATTTGCACCAAATACACTTTGAAAAAGAAAAATTTTTTGAAGCACTGACAGTCACTTTGCACTTAATGCATGGAAAACTCAAATTTGAAGCACCAATGTTGAATATTCGCTGACACTTTTTTCACCATAAACATTGTTAGAATCTTTCAGAAGATATGCACATTATTCACTATGCGCAAATATGCCAAATCGATGGGATGCTTAACACATCACTTTTTCATATTTCACTGCTGAGATCGATGTCTAACCCCCCCCCCTTGTCAAAAAAAATTTCTCTTGTTTGTTTGTTAGAAGATTCAACTATGGTCATGAAGCTGACTTGGTTTTTTTCTATTTTCTTTATTAGTCATGATCCTCTAACCATAGTTTAGCACAGAAGTGCTACCACACACAAATTAAATTTTTTTCTTTTCTTTCTTCTTATTGTAGGGTAATATTTAATTATATTTTTGCAAAATTTAAAAAACTTTTAACTTAATTATACAAGTTATTTGTCTTCAATTTCAGTCTTAATTTTGTACAATGTTTTATTTTATTAACTAATATTAAAGATTTTTGAAAGAAAAACTTTTACAGTTGTACAGTGCTAAAAATCAGTTACCTTTTCCTAAGGAACAAAGTTTTTTTGATCTATCGTACTAAAGCATCCCCTAACCACTAGCAAGATGGTATGCTGATTTTGTTGGAAAGGACATGCCAAATTAATCGTCAAAGTATTATTGTCTCATTTAGTATTGCATTATATTATTATGTTTTTATATCGAATCTTCTGTTGTATTAAGTATGTGTATCCACAATTAGAATAATTTATGCAATTAATCATTTATTGAGCAAGATATTTCTATATCAAGGTTCACAACTCAGTCTGTACTACACTGACTACCAATAAGTATTTGGACACGTATGCAAATGACGATATCTGCGGTCCTAAGGTACATCACGGACTCCACCGGTATATATCGTGTACGAAACAGCATTGGCTTTAATCGCATGCAAGATGCCTCGCAGTTCGGAGCTCTCTGATTTCGAGAAAGGTATAATTATCGGGTATCACAAATGTGGCCGATCCTTAAGGGACATATCTAGCGATCTGAAGTACCCAAAATCGACAGTGGCTTAGTGATTAAGAAGTGGAAGGTGAGCGGTTATTGTCGGAATGTGCCCCAAGTCGGCAGACCAGCGAAACTGGGAGATACAGACCAAGGAGTGCTGTCCATAGAAATTCGGAAGAACCACACCCAACCGATGGCCCTTATTCGCGAGGAGTTTCAACAGGCATCCGGGACTATTGTTTCAATGAATACCATCCGTAAGGAAGCACATCTGCTTGGTTTTCATGGTCGTGCTGCTGCCCATAAGCCTTTGATCACAAAATCCAAACGCGCTGCTCGGTTAATGTGGTGCAAAGCACATCAAAATTGGACCGTAAATAAGTGAAAACGGGTTCTTTGGAGTGATGAATCAAGGTTCACTTTTTACCGTTCGGATGGTAGGGTCTGGCGTCTCCTGCCAGAATGCATTGTGCCAACAGTCAAGTTCGGCGGAGGTGGAATTATGGTCTGGGGGTGTTTCTCCTGGTATGGGCTGGGACCCTTGGTCCCCATTCATGGTAAGCTCAACTCCGATGCCTACTGCACTCTTTTGGATTACAATGTGCTTCCTACGTTGTGGCAGTTTTACGGGTTGGATCCCTGTTACTTTCAGGACGACAATGCCAGTTGTCATGTTTCGACGTTAACCAAGGCTTGGTATGGTGCCAATGGAGTTCATTGAATGGACTGGTTTGCCCAGAGTCCAGACCTGAACTCTATCGAGATCCTCTGGGACAAGCTGCATCGCCGAATTCAGGGGTGCACTACCTGTGCAAAATCGGTGAAGAAACTTCTATGTCTTCTCCAAGCCAAGTGGAAGAAAATAAAACTAGCTGTCAAACAAAGACTTGTGGAAAGTATGCCCCGGCGGGTCCACACTGTAATTTCCTTTCGTGGAGGCTCTACTAACTATTGATTTTGAATAAAGTTAGTTTTTCGTTTCTATCACAGGTGTCCAAATACTTATTGGTAGTGTTATCAGCCAATAGATGGCATTGTAGAAAAGCCGCTGATAGAGGGCGCATAATGTTTAGAATGTTCCGTAATGATATGTATATATGTATATAATTGTTGTAACAATAAAGCATTTATAAAATGCAAGAGTTATCCCGATTGAATGAAAAGTGAAAACCCGACTTACCCCTAGCCATCCTGAGATTAATAACGGAGATTAAAGCTAACAGTAGTCGGTGTATAATGGAAATATTTTCATCAACAAAAATTTGAAAAACTTTTTAGTGAACATTTACTTTATAAAAACATATGAACATTTACCTTGTGAAACTATTTTCATCAAGAGACTTTACATAAAAGTTTTCATTCGGCATTCAAAAGACATTGGACATTTTAACAACTTGAAGACTAAAAATTATATTTGTGTTAATTCATTGTTTAGTTTCTTTAGAAATTACATTGTTTGTATATTATCTGTTAAGTATTTCGTAATCTGTATATGAGAAAGGTCATGAATCTTGACAGGGCATAGGAAACCCTGTAGGCTATGTCCTTGATGCTTTCTCATTTCTTTCCTCAAACGATAAATTTTCTCTTGCTCCGCTAATTCACTAATTGCTTTTCTGCCACCTTGCTCTCCTGACCTTTCTTTTAAAGGGGGAATGGATCTTTCATTCTAAAAATAAAATAGCAATAAATTTCCTAACTAAATGAAAAAGATCTCTCATCTAATCTGTATTGTGCAGTTATCAGTGAAGTCTGAACCTAACACCTGTACATTAAACTGCCATGTGATCTGAAATGGAATGTGATATAAATGCTTAATTGCATGGCAACTCTCTCTCTTCTGTCTACCCTTCTGCTTACAGATGCTTGTGCACCTTGCCACTATCCATGCAGAGACTACTTTTTCTAATTTTCCTCCTTAAGAAGATATCTGCATAAAATTAGGGGGGCATAGCACACCCACAGTGACAATGTGCATTATAATCCAGGAATAAAATTATGTGTGGAATTTACCGTTATGTGTCATCTTGCTAACTACACAGTCTCTTCAATGCCAATCCATTGCAACTTTCACCAAGTCACCTTATTTCAATAATAAAGCAGTTTTATTAAACACACATATATATGCATGTAAGACGAAAATATAAAATAAAAATATTAACTTTAATTTGCAACATTCCCTTAAGTCCCTATTTTAATTTTGATAATTCTCTTTTCCATCCTAAAAATAGTATCTGAACATAATAAATCTCTCTAAATCATGTAATTTCAAAATTAAATACCAGTAATAATTTTAGAGAGTTAATAATTAACCTATCAAATTTGAGCTAAACCAAAACTAAATCATTCAGAACGTTCTTCTTGAACACATCACATTCTTTAACTTCTCTATGCTATCAATTCACTTGCCATCTGTACTCCGTTTATCTTTGAATATCTTTCAAAATTCTACAGTTAACAATATAGTTAAAAAACAGGTGCAATCAGTGTGCCATTTTACTACATTGACATTAAAACATGTTAACAAGAATAAAATAATGAATATTTAAAATTGTCCCTACATTTCCAACTATTGCTTCATGATACTGGCTTTTGTCTTCAGTATTTAAATTATTTTATATAGTATATATATTCGGCCTTGTATAGATTAATGGACTGGGTTACATTTGTAATTGTTCACAATCTGCATTGGAAAGAAAAATATCTCTATTTAAAATCATCAAATGATCTCAGAATATCGAACACAGATCTCAGAATACAGAGAGAAATCAAATACAGAAGAGGAAAAAATACATCTCAATGAAACTCCCACATAGTTGATGCAACACTAAATTTGAAACAACTGAAAAATTCTACAAAGAATAATTTTTTTAGCTGCCATAGAACAAATTCTTATGTGCATATTGATAAAATATCTGCCAGATAAACTCAAATTTTACATCAGTAATGCAAATTATGAATAAACTTGTGTTTCTGTTAAAAAAGAAATTACATAATAGAAAGAGAGATAAAAGTGTACTTATCATGAAGTACAATTATAACAGTACTTACTTTGTAAATATTTTTAACTTTCTGCAGATGTGTATTCATTTTACCTAAAGCCAGTAAACTGGTGATTATACCAGACGTAAATGTATTTAAACCACCACCACTTGTTAATACACCACTAAAAAGCAAAAATTTTTATTATATTCCTTACAGTTCAGTAAATAATTAAATGAATTAAGTAGCAGTCAACAGCAAAACTTTACTTTTAAAAACATCTTTCACATTTCTTTATTACATCTTCTAAGAATAAACTGCATATTAGATACTAAGTACAACATAACTATACAATAAATGAGTGAAAATTTATTTTTTACAATGAATGAAAATGATTCTAAATTAATAAACACAATAAATATATATTTACCAGATTGCTTAGAGCCATTAAAACAAAGTAAGAAAATTATAGTTACAGTTATAAAAATGTACTAAAGAAGTTTATTTTACCTTGATAAAAATAATTATCATAGGAAGCTTGCCAAATTAATTAACTAGGCATAATAAATAGACACGTATATGTGCTATACAACCTACAGAAGAGTTTGAAGGATCATTCAATTGGAAGATGTAAAAAGGGGCAATGTGACAAAAGTCAAATTTTACAGGAGCAACAAAAAGCTATCCAATTCCTCACTAGAATGTCAGAAAACGTCTGAAAAATTCTAAGATACATTTCTTTCTTAATTTTTGTTGTTGACTTCTGACATTCAAGTGAGGAATGGCGTAGTTTTTTTTTTTTTTTTTTTTTTTTTTTTTTGTGTAATATTTAACCTTTGTCACATAGCCCCTTTTTATATCTCCAATTGAATTCACTAAAAACATCATAAGAAATTCTCTACTAAAGAAAAATATCCATCTCCTACTAGAAAAATATATATTAAAAATACAAATTCATTGCTTTATGACCGGTAAGTTGCAACAACTAATAATATTTTAAAGTTAAATAAATACCTTAAGATGAAGGCAAAATCATTTGCTAATGAGAAATGTAAGTTGAAGATTAAGATAATAAAAAAACTGCATCAATATAATCAAATAATGAATAACTTTTGCTCTATAATAACATCTGCAAACTTGCAAAACGAAAACAATAGTCCTTCAGGGACAAAGCCCCTTTGGAATAAAAAAAAAAAAAAAAAAAAAAAAAAAAAAAAAAAAAAAAAACTAAATAAAATCCAAAGCTTTCATATTTTACATTATGCCCAAATGGGCATTTTCTTAACATTTTGTGTTTTACTTTTATTTATTTAATATCATATTCTTCGCACTTAAACTTTAAAATTCAGTTCAACAGCAAAATAATTTTAAAATAAGCCTATCTTTAGAATTTCTGATACATAGTCTCGCACACTGAAGATAAATTTTTTTTTTTTTTTTTCTTTTTCTCCCGTACAGTGTTGCCATTGCTCAATTTGAAATAATTGAGTTTGTTAATAAAACATTCATCAAATGTTTTAAAAAATTTTAAATAGATAGTAAAAAAAAATTCTAAATTTTGTCTTCCAGATGCCCATAATGGGTGGTAATGTAGATTATTCAAAATTTGATGGATCTAGCTACCATTCTTTTATCACAATGCGAGAAACATACACACATTTATGCAGATTCTTCATTATTTAATTTCTTTAAACATAATACAGGTTTCTAATATTCAGTGGCAACAATTTAAAAAGTGAATCAACATTTATAGTGAACCATGCTAGTACTTCTGGGCAAGTAACTAATCCCCTTTGGGCTAATAACTAAACTAATGCAATTCAGGCTTAACTGTCTCAGTGTGCGATAGAAGCAAGACAGAATTTAGTAGCACTAAATAAATATATCATTGTAGAAGAAACAATAATTTAATATAAATATGTGCAATCAATAATTTGGCTCAATTCATGTGATCAATAACTTAACTTGTCTGTTGTTGCCAATCTCAAGATACACAGCCAATACACGATGCTATTATGCTAGGTTATGATTCCAAGGAATTTTTATCAGTATAGCAGATTGGGTTATTCCTTAACTTTCTTATTTGTCCCAGCTTATTATTTTTTGCAGACTGTTTTTATTACGACAATTTTATGAAAATTAAAGTTTAAACTTTTAATTATGTTGAAAAGAGTTTCTAATTCTGGAGCTGCAACAGGATCTATAAAGCTAAAGCATATTTTGATATCCATTAAACAAAAAGTGGAACTGCTGAAAAAAATGGATAAAGGTATATTCATCTTAAAATTATGTGAGGAGTATGACATAAGAAAACAGAAAAAGGAACTTTTTGAATTTTTTGTGGATTCTGACACCCCACTCACTATGAATAACAAAAAAGTTATTCATTACACTAAACATGTAAATCATCACAAAGTGATGACTGAATGGGTGAGATAACGTAGCAGCGAAAAAGTGCCATTGACGGGTCCAATGCTAATGGCTAAAGTTAAAACATTTCACGAACAAATGAGCTTAAAAACTGAGTTTACATTTCTAAAGGTTAGTTAACCAAATTTAAAAATCGCCATGGTATAAGGCATTTACAAATTTCAGGTGAAAAGGCTTCATCTGGTACTGAAGATGCTGAACTGTTTGCACATGAACTCATTAATAGTCAAAAGTAATCTTCAAAAATACCTTGATGACCTCTACAGAAAAGCCTCCAACTGGTGTCAAAGATTCCAAAGTGAGACTAACAATTTTAGCATGTGCAAATGCTGCAGGAACACAAAAGTGTAAACTTTTCATAATCCAAAAAAATTGCAGATGAATTCATTGAACTCATTAATAGTGAAAAGTTATCGCCAGCAAAAAATTACACAGCTGATAAAACTGGTCTTATCTGACAATATATATCACAAAACCATGGCAACCTCAATAATAAAGGCACCAGCTGGTATCAAAGATTCTAAAGCGAGACTAACAATTTTAGCATGTGCAAATGCTTCAGGAATGCACAAGTGTTAACTTTTCATAATCGGAAAAAAATACATAACCTGGAGAATTTAAAGGAGTTATGATTTTCCTTGATATCGTGCAAATAAAAGACTATGGATGACACAAATGTTAATAAATGACTGGTTTGAAAATCATTTCATACCTGAGACTTGGCAGAATTCAGTTGGTTTACCCAATGATGCAAAAATTGTCCTGATTGTAGACAACTGTTCGATTCATACTTCACTTACTAAATTTACTAAATTTTAGTAAAAGTTAATGTATCTAAATTATTCTTTCCTCCAAATTCTACACCCACTATTCAGCCAATGGAATCGGAATAGTGCGCATGCTGAAATGCAAATATATAGTCGAATTTTTAAAATCCGTGCTGAATTTCTTGAATAATTGAAGAAAAAGACTATTGAAGAATTTTTTTAATATTTTAGCATAAAATCTGCTTTGTGGAGCAACACAAGATCAATGGAGGATGCGTCTCCAGATACTCTGAAAATGCTTGGCATAATTTATGGCCAGATACCATATTTCATGGTGAAGATGATGAATATTGATAGCTGTGAGTGTGAAGGTTTTTGATATCGCAGACCAAAGGTGAAATTTTGCAATTAATGAATTTTGTAAAGAAATGAAGAAGCGATAATAAATAAAGATGATATAACAGGGGATTTTCATTGTGATGACAATGGCCTGATCATCAATCAATGAATCGATGAATGGAAAAATCTGAAGTATGGTTCTAGATCCAGAAAATTAGCACTTCCAATAGTGAAGATAGTGACAGAGAGGTTATTAAAAATGAAAAAAATTCGATTGACAAGTTAGTCGGTATTCTCGACACAGAAATTACAGGACTTGAACAGTGGAACTTTGTAACTGAACAAGAAATTATGTCTGTTTATAGAATTAAAGAGAAAGTATTAGCACAAAAAACAAATCAACTTAAACAACTTACATTGAAAGAAATGTTTAATAAAGAAAATAACAAGTATTAAGCCTTTACCCCCTCTAAATTTTGATGCCATTTAGATCATAAATATTTCATATAATTTCTTCATGCCATCTCACTAGTTTTAAACTGATGACTTAATATTCGAAAAAAAATCCCACATTCGAAGCCTCGACGAGTCTGAATCTCGGACTTTGTACTGTATTACAAGAACATCACTTAATTTTTATGGCCATAAAACTAAATTGAAACTTTAATTTTATCATACAAACATTCTAAAACCAAGTTATATGGTTAACCTTTTATATGGCAAAGAGGTTTATATGAGTAATTGCATACCACAGCACCAGCAAGAAGTCATACTGATTTGCTTGCAGAGGAAACTGTCATTTTTTGCCATAGTTTACTATTATATCTTATTTTTTGCTGTTTCTGTACAGTAATTATTACAATAACAAATCTAATTTCGTTTTATAGTGCATAAAATAAAATTTCGTAACTATATACTAGAAACATTTTAATTTCATGCTGATTATAACACGTGGTTTTATGAGACTTTCAACCAACTGTAAAAATTCATCATGTGTTTCTCAAGAACTTTACAAACTTATCTCTTAGACTTTCAAATTGAACTTTAATTCCATTTCCATACCATACAATTTTTTGTTACATTTCTGTAAGTTTTCTTGTATTCAAACATGAGAAAGTTTCTGAAACAAATGACAGAGCATAGTGAAACCTAACGCTAGGTCCCTGAAACATTTAATTTGCTTTCTCAACATCGTATCTCAACTGTAAATATTGAACATATTCTTTCTCTTCCTTTGCTAACACACTAATGTTTTCTTCTCAAAGGCTTTTCTTCTTGTCAAGCCTTTTTCTTCTTCAAGGGGAGAAATATATATGATATCAAAATACTAAGAAAAATTTATTACCAAATTAAACTTAATTGGAAAGATCTTTTAAATTCTTAACTCTAATTGCATAATATCCCCTCTCCATGTTTCCATATTGCACTATGTTACATCATGCTTACTATGTAGTAACCACAATGAGAATTTTTTCTTAAAATGCTTATAAATACTACTGCAGTTATTATGCAACTTACCCTTAATCCGGAAAACCTAAATCCGGAATTAAGGTTACGGCTCTTTTGCCACTTTGCCTTCCTGCTACCAACATGTCACTTAGCCTCTGCTAGCTATTCCTTGTTATTTGAGATGTAATTATGTACCTAA